CACCAGGAACTGCCCCCTGGTGGTCAGTCGCTCCCACAGCCAACCTCCTGGGGCCAACTTTCTACGGTCTTCTCCCCCCTCCCCCCGCTGGCCACCCCAATTGCCGGCAGGAGGGACCCCACCCATGCACAAATTCGTGTACGGGGCTCTAGTGTTAAGGTAAAATTTTAATTCACATTCAGCCCCTCTCCAAACCTCACTCCTGGTACACACAGTGCCTTGCACATAATATCTGCTGATATTGACTCTGAGTCAATAAAATAAATGAATTTTTTAAGAAGGTTAAAATATTTGGGAGATACCAGATTTTAAAGTAATGTTGATGTTCTTCGTATCTGTTTCTTTTGGGCTATTTCTTACTTCATGGAGTAAGATATTTTTAAAAACTCCAAGGATTTCCATATTGTTTTATTTACATTGGAATTTAAAAAATCTCTATACTTGTTTTTTGGTGTTTTTTTTTTTAATTTCAAATTTATTGTGCCTTTTTCAGCCCAATATATACTGCTATGAGGTCCAGTGACTTACTACATACAGAAGGTTCTAGGTAAATGGGGAATCTTCATTACTAAGGGTTTTGTGATTTGGAGAAGTTTGCCCAGGTGGTTCCAGTCTTGTGACCCACCTTGTATCTGGCTATTTTATGGCTTTTGATCTTTGTTAGCATAATTCTTTATAAAAGAATCGTATAGGTCAACAATTCCTCATATGCAATTCTGAAATCCCCAAAGCCCTGAAAAACTAAAGTTGTTATAATTAATTTGCTAGCCAAACTTGACCTAAATGGATGGGAGGCTGTTTATTTTTTTAGTTTATTCCACTTAAAGTTCTATAAGAAATTTTAAGTTAGTAATATGGGTTACCTTAGACCAGTGGTTGGCAAACTGCGGCTCACGCCACGGTTTGCCGCTCTGTTGACTAATGAATTTGCTGACCACTGACCTAGACTCTCGATTCCACTAATTACAGGCTGTTGTTCTTTGTGATTAAGCCCCTATCCCAGTTTACATTCGCTATTATTTTGTATTCATTTTGGGTCCCCCTCCAATATTTCAAGTACCCACTTAGCACTTTACATAGTTATTATTGACTATATTCTCTATGCTGTATTTTACATACCTGGGACTACTAGTATTTTGTGACTACCAGTTTGTAGTTTTTAATCACTTTACTTTTTTCACCCAGCCTCTCACTCTGCTTTCCCTCTGGCAACCATCAGTCTGTTCTCCATATCGATGAGTTTGTTTCCATGTTCATTTATTTTGTTGTTAAGATTCCACATATAACTGAAATAATATGGCATTGGTCTTTCTCTGTCTGACTTATTTCACTTAGCATAATGTTGCAAATGATAAAATTCCATTATTTTTTGTGGCTAAATAATATTCCATTTTTAATATACATATCATTAACTTTTTTATAAATATATATACATACAAATACACACACATATATACACATATATATGTATATATACATACACACTTTTATTGATTTCAGAGAGGACGGGAGAGGGAGAGGGAGAGAAACATTAATGATGAGAGAGTCATTGATTAGCTGCCTTCTGCATACCCCCTATTGGAGATGGAGCCCACAACCTGGGCATGTGCCCTTGACCAGAATTGAACCCAGGACCCTTCAGTTTGCAGGCCAACACTCTATCCACTGAGCCAAACCAGCTAGGGCACATATCATAACTTATCCACTCATTTGTTGATGAGCACTCAGATTGCTTCCATATCTTGGCTATTGTAAATAGCACTGCAATGAACCTAGGGGTGCATATAATTTTTCCAAAGTACTGTTTTGGGTTTCTTCAAATATATACCCAAAAGTGGAGTCGCTGGGTCATAAGACACTTCAATTTTTAATTTTTTGAGGAACCTACATACTGTTTTCCATAGTGTCTGCACCAGTCTGCATTCCCACCAACAGTGCATGAGGGTTCCCTTTTCTTCACAACTTTGACAATGATTGTTGTTTGTTGATTTATTGGTGATAGCCATTCTGACAAGTGTGAGGTAATATCTCATTCTGGTTTTAACTTGCATTTCCCTGTTGATTAGTGAAGTTGAGCATTTGTATGCTTTCTTTGGAGACATGTCTATTCAAATCCTATACCCATTTTTAATTGGATTGCTTTTTTGGTGTTGAGTTTTATAAGTTCCTTGTAAATTTTAGATATTTACCCCTTATTGAATGCATCCTTGGTAAATATCTTCTTCCATTTTAATGTTGTTGATGGTTTCCTTTGCTGTGGAAAAAAATTTTAGTTTGATGTAGTCCCATTTGTTTATTTTTTCTTTAGTTTCCCTTGCCTGAGGAGCTACATCAGAAAAAAAAAATTGCTAACATATTTGTCCAAGATTTTATTACCTTGGTTTTTTTCTCTCTAGGATTTTTATGATTGTGAGTCTTATGTTTAAGTCTTTAGTCCACTTTGAGTTTATTTTTGTACATAATGTAAGAAGGTGGTCCAGTATCTAAAATAATAAAAGCATAATATGCTAATTAGAACAGATGTCCTTTCGGATGACCATCCGGAGGAAGACCTGGGGAGGAAAGCCAGGGTCCCAGGTGCCTACCAGCAGTTGGGGGAAAGCCCAGGTCCTGGGTGCCAGCAGCTGGAGTTATTTCGCATAGCATAATGCTCTATCTTAACTCATGGTCCAAAAACAGTGAGCAGATTTGGCCTGTGGGCCATAGGTTGCTAACCCCTGGATTATGCCACTATTGCCCAAATGAGTGTGAACTCCTCCACAATACAATTCTAAATATCTTTCTGACTTAATGATTGCTGTTCCCCTGTTGATTTTTCCTCTTGTCCAACTGGATTACTGGTGTTTCTTGGACACTCTGGTTTCTGAGGCTTTTAATAATCATTGCCGTGTTTTAATTCTGGTGTAAACTGGAATATTTTAAATAAAATAATAATATGTATTTCCAAATTTTTCTTGAAGCTTGAATATTTAGATGATGATGATGATGATGATAATGGCGAATACTTACTAGGCTCTTGTAAGGAGTTCTTATGTGTTAATCTCATTTAGTCCTTATAGCAACTCATTTTATATATGAGGAAACTGAGGCAAAGGGACATTTAACAACAAAACAGAATCTTTCTCTTTTTGTCTGAGAAAATCTTTATTTCTCCTTTGAAAAGTAATTTTTCAGGATACAGAATTCTAGGTTGGTAGGTATTTTTCTCCCCTCAACATTTTAAATGTTTTATTCCATTCTCTTCTTGCTTGCATGGTTAAGAAGTTAGATATAATTATCTGTTCTCTATAGGTAAGGTGATTCTTTTCCTCTGGCTTCTTTAAGGATTTTTTTTTTTTTTGTCTTTGATTTTCTGTAGTTTAAAAATTATATGTATAGATGGGGGGGGGGTATTTTGTTTTGTATTTTTCTTTTTTTGGTATTCTCTAAGATTCCTGGATCAGTGATTTGATGTCCAACATTAATTTGGGGAAATTGTAAAAATAATAATAATAATAATAAGGTAGAGATCCTCAGTCATTATTGGTTTCTTTCTGTTCTTTTTTCTCTTCTTCCAATATTCCTATTTCATGTATGTTATACCTTTTATAGTTGTCCCATAGTCCTTGGATATTCTTCTGTGTGTTTTTTCCATTCTTTGTTTTTTTTTAATTTTCATTCTTTAAGGGTTCTATTGGTATATTTTTTAGCTGAGAGATTCTTTACTTGGCTGTGTCTCATTTACTAAATAAACATATTAAAAGTATTATTTATATGTGGGTTTTTTGTTTTTTTTCCAATCTAACATTTCTTTTTGGTTCATTCTTAAGAGTTCTATCTCTCTGCTTACAACGTTCTTCTGTTCTTGCTGTCTATCTAATAGAGCCCTTATCATATTAATTATAGTTGTTTTAAATTCCATCTAATAATTCCAACTTTCCATGTCTGGTACTGATGTTTGCACTGTCTCTTCATCGTGTTTTTTACCTTTCAGTATGCCTTATAAATTTTTCTTGATAGGTAGCTATGCTATTTTGCTAAAAGGAACTGCTATTAATAGGACCTTAGTAATGTGGTAGTAAGGTTGGTGTAGGGCAGTGGTCGGCAAACTGCGGCTCACGAACCACATGTAGGTTTGCCGCTCTATTGACTAATGAGTTTGCCGACCACTGGGGTAGGGAAAACATTCCTTGCCCAGAGCAGGGAATGTCCAGCCCTCAGGGCCTGAGAAATCATTTGGTCTGGCCCTGCCAAGGCATTAGAGGTGAGTTAATTAAATGTTGGACCAAATATAGCAGCCTAATTTTTAAGTTGATAATTTTGTATGGGCTGTGAATGATGTTATAAATATCCCCCAAATGGCTCCTGGCAGGAAAAAAGTTCCCTACCCCTGCTTTAGTCCTATGATTTGCTCTTAGTATTTAGTGAACTTATGCCTCTGGACTGTGAACCTCATAAGTATTTTTCATTTTTTTTTTCTCTCCCCCCAGATGGGATAGCATGGCTAGAGTAGGCTGGGTTGGTTATTTTCTTTGCCCCGGGTCCCTTAGGCTCTGATTAACTAGTTTCTTTTGAGTGTAGGTCTTTGTTAAGAAGGACCAAATACTCTGGTTTGTAATTTCATATTAGTCACCCCATCCCATCAACCTGTGGGAAGCCCAAGTGTGTTTGTCTCTAATATTTACTATGGGAATCTGGTTGGTAAATCTCACAGTATAATGGGACCCTTCCAATAACTGGGTCCCCTGGAGTTTTTATTTATCATTATTATTTTTAATCCTGACTGAGGACATGCTTTAAAGAGAGGGAGAAACATTGATGGGTTGCCTTTCATATGCTCCCAAACTGGATGAAACCCACAACCCAGGTTTGTGTCCTGACCGGGAATCTAACCGGCAACCTTTCGGTACACAGGATGATGCTCAATCAACTGAGCCACTCCAGCCAGCCCAACTCTTAAGAATTGTCCACATTGAGTCTCCGGCAATTCATCAGTTACAGTTCAGGCTTTCCTACTACTCATGCATTGGCTCCTATGGCAGTTTCTGCTTGTGTGTCTCTACTCTGGTAAGTTGTGACTCTTCATATGTGCCTGTTTCTCCAGCTTATGGATTTTAAACTTTGAATCCTTGAATGTTGGAAAATGTCTTTAGCTTTGTTCTTTCACATTGTCAAACAATGGTCGTTGACTCCGTTTCAAAGCCAAAAGGAATCCCTAATTTGGAATGTGCTGAAGAACAATTTTTATATATAGTATGGCTATGACAGCAGCATTACTGGAACAGCTCAGTTGTGATACAGCATGGCTGAAGCAGCCCTAGGACTAGCCATCCCTGGGGCCAGGCCTCTCTCTGGCTAGATAGCTTAACTCTACTCACTGATTCGCTCTGCTTCCTGCCTATCTGCTTTGGCTTGCATTGGTGTGCTCTGCTCTGTTCTGGTGAGATATCTTCAGTGTTTCAGCTCAGCTGGGGAACCACAGTTTTTGGTGGAAAGGGAAAATGTGCTCCCAGAGCCGATGAGAGCCGGCTTATATGGACCTGGTCACTGATTGGTTGGTATGTTCCTCTTTCACATCAGGTTTCCAAATTTTCAAAGTTTGATTGGTCCAAAAGACATTGTCCTGATTGGTCAGAATAGAGCTGCTCTGGATGGTTGGAGCTGTGCAGGTTTAATTGGATGGGGAAAGGCTCAGTCCTATTGATTAAATAGGTTTCCAGGAACCCTTTGTAAGGGTTGGCTTAGGTGGCAGAAACACACTGCAGGCAGGCAGTTCAGTACAGAGGCAGGGAGTTTAGTGCAGGCTTCTCCCTGAAGTGCATTTGTGTGAGTCGTCCTGTGTAGAAATTGCTGCTGGGCTCTGTTTTTGTCTTTGTTTTTAAGTTTGAGCCCAGTTAACCACTAGGAGCCCTTCTTTGTAGATGTCTTGTTTCCGAGGGCCCACAATACAAATTCTAATTTGGGGGTATATACTTCTGTGTTTCAAATACAGTAAAGACTCAATACAATAAACAAGTGGGTGTCTGTTATATAACTAAGTAGGTTAAAAATTTGACAAATTAGTTTACCTGTTTTTGCTTATGTAGACATTTTTGTGTAACTAAAATTATGTATGAAAAGTTTAATTTCATAGAAACATTTTCTATATGTATTAAAGTAATTTTAAATTTATACTGAATAGGTCTAGTAAATACGTGCACTCACCAGTCACTACAAATAACCAAATGCACAGGACTGGGGCACTTGGCTGCGGTATGGCTTAGCACATATAAGAACATCAGCCAGCTGGCATGCTTGTTAAAATTGCTGCAGGAAGTCATGCCATGGACAACAGAACCAATTACCATGGAAAATGTGGTGTAATCACTCGCCGAACATTGTTTACCAGTGGTGACTCTGTAATTTAAATATGTAAGCTATAATTGTAGATATCTGATATTTATTTATGTCATTGAAATTACTAGTGTATTTTTCAACATATGGCCTATGTGCTAAAATTTGTTAAAAATAACAAGAAAATATGTTAATTTACTTATAAGCAAAGCTTGATTAATTGGGTGTTAATTTTCACATATGACACACAGACCGGAAATTTTGTCCATTTAATCCAAATCCTGTTAAATCAAGGTCCATAAAATTTAGGGTTTATTGTAATGTTCTTTCAAACTTTGAAGCTACATCTTCATTGTTTTATAATATCAAGTGCTGCTTATATCGGTGTGATATCTGGTCTTCTGTAGGCAATATACTTTTTCCCTCTTAGGTTACAAGTTGAGATCCAAAGATCTGTAGCTTTAATTTTTGTTTTTGTGTTAAGAATAATAACAGTGCCGAAACCGGTTTGACTCAGTGGATAGAGCATCGGTCTGAGGACTAAGAGGTCCCAGGTTCAATTCTGGTCAATGGCATGTACATTGGTTGCCGGCACATCCTCAGTAGGGAGTGTGCAAGAGGCAGCTGGTCGATGTTTCTCATGGATGTTTCTAGCTCTCTATTTCTCTCTCTTCCTCTCTGAAAAAAAAAAAATCAATAATATATATATATTTTAAAATATATTTTATTGATTTTTTTTGCCCCCCTCTCTCCCCCTTACATACCTTCCCTCCCCAGAGTTTTATGTCCATTGGTTGTACTTATATGCATATATACAAGTCCTTCAGTTGATCTATTATCTCCCCCAGATCTTCCTCCCCTCCCCACTGTAATTTGACAGTCTGTTTGTTGCTTTACTGTCTCTATATCTGTCTTTTGGTTCATCAGTTTATAATGTTCTTTATTATCCATAAATGAGTGAGGTCATGTGGTGTTTCTCTTTCATCGATTGGCTTATTTCACTCAGCATGATGTTCTCCAATTCCATCCAAGTTGCTGCAAATGATGAAAATTCCTTCTTTTTTATGGCAGCATACGACAAGTGTTGGCGAGGTTGCGGAGAAAAAGGAACCCTCGTGCACTGCTGGTGGGAATGCAGACTGGTGCAACCACTGTGGAGAACAATGTGGAGTTTCCTCAAAAAACTGAAAATGGAACTCCCATTTGACCCAGTAATCCCACTTCTAGGAATATATCCCAAGAAACTAGAAACACCAATCAGAAAGGATATATGCACCCCTATATTCATAGCAGCACAATCTACAATAGCCAGAATAAAATATATTTTTTAAAAAAGAATAAGAGTAATTCTATTAGAATTAGTTTGAATTTGAGGATAGTTAAAATGAAGGGCATTGTATATGAAAACAAGCAAACAAAAACTCCTTGCTTCCTCCAAGCCTTACATTTAATAAAGGGATTGAGCCCTTCAGAGTTAAATAATCTTCCCTCCTGTTTCCACTTTGCAGTGTTTTTAATGCTTGCATCAATAAGAAATGTTCAACTTCCTGAAGTAGCAAATTCTCCTTCCTCTTTTGACTAATAAATTAATATGTTTTGAATTGGAATATGATTCCCTGAACAGTTTTTCTGGTTTATTTTTCAATGCAACAGTTAAAAATAAACCTTTTTAAAGGTAGGTTGTAATTTTAGTTTAGATAATGAACTATATGTATGGTATCTTCTTTTATACTTACAAATTCTTATCTGGTTATTTCAAAATTTATAACTGCTTTTTACCTAAGTGGTAATTGAAAAACGCATAGTAAATTTGTGTTTTAAATAAACTACTCTGTATCTTGAACTATTTTATTCAGTGATTTTTTTCCCCCAACTTAGACCTTGTGTGGACAGTAATGACCTCACGTTTCCGTTTGCCTGCTGGCAGAACTTACAATGTACGAGCATCAGAGTTGGCCCGAGACAGACAGCATACAGAGGTGGATTGCAACATTCTTCTTCTGGATAACACTGTACAAGTTTTCAAAGTTAGTGTAAGTATTTTATGTTGCTCTCTTTAAAAAATAACATCTGGTTATAATTAAATTGGTTAATTATAGTAGAAGTTGAAACTCTTACTCATTGAAGAACAGTTATTGTAGTACAGGTTTGTAACTATCACGTACAAGTTCTGATTCAAACTGGATCTTTAAAAAAGTTGACAAATCAGCAGTGCATTATGATTAATTAGTGGAGCAGATCAATAGTATGTTGGTAGTTTTTATAAATTTGCTTGAAAGGAATTTGTTCTCCTAAATAACTTTATACATTTTCATTTTAATCTTTTTTGTACTGCCTATGAAAAAAACCTTTGCTAAACAGAAATAAAAAATAGCCCTGATATTATCTGAGTCTTATCTGGAATATTTATTCAACAAATAATTTGTTCATCTGATTTGTGTATAGTTTAATTTGCTCAACATTATTTGTGAGTTTCACCCATGTGGTGTGTTAACAGTAGTTGTCATTTTCATTGCTGTATTATAGTACTCGTTGTTATATTAATATACTGTAATTTACTTGTCCATTGATTTATTACCATTTACTTGTCAAATTTACTGTTGGTGTTTATTTGGATTGTTTCCACTTTGGTCTCTTATCAGTAATGTTGTTGGTGAATATTCTTGTGTATGTCTTAATATATAAGGGTGCATTCCTGCTTTTTGTTTAAAAAAAGTTTCAAGCCAAAAGAAAAGATGAAAGAGTATAATGAATACCCATATATCCTTTACCTAGATTAACCTGTTCTTAACATTTTGTATATTTCTTTTTCTTTTTCTGCCATTATTTTCTAAAAGTGGTTCATTTTGCCTGTATTTCAGCATCCTAAGAGTCTCATAAGTTACCACAGTATCATTATCACACCCCAAAATTTAACATCCTACCTAATAAAATAGTAATATGCAAATTGACTATCACTCCAACTCACAAGATGACCACCTCCATGTGGTCAAAGATGGCTGTCCCCATATGGACACAGATGGCCACCACAAGATGGAGGGTAGTGGGGGGGGGAGGGCGGTCACCCATGCCTGCAGAGGAGGGCAGTTGGGAGCAACCAGGCCTGCAGGGGAGGGCAGTTGTGGGCAACCAGGCCTGCAGGGGAGGCAGTTTGGGTGGAAACAGGCCTTCAGGGGAGGGGAGTTGGGAGTGACCAGGCCAGCAGGGGAGGGCAGTTAGGGGTGACTAGGCCTGCAGGGGAGGACAGTTGGGGTGACCAGGCCTACAGAAGAGGGATGTTGGGGAGGGGGTGGAATCAGGCCTGCAGGGGAGGGCAGTTAGGGATGACCAGGCAGGTAAAGGAGGGCAGTTGGGAGAGGCAGGCCTGCAGGTGCATTTCTCTGATGATTAGTAATGTTGAGCATCTTTTCATGTGTCTTGGCAATTTCTATACCCTCTTTGGAGAAATGTCCATTCAAGTCATTTGCCTATATTTTAATTGGATTGTTTGTGTTCTTGGTGTTGAGTTTTATAATTTTCTTGTAAATTTTGGATATTAAGCCTTTTTCAGATATATCATTGACGAATATGTTCTCCCATTCAGTTGGTTTTCATTTTGTTGATGGTTTCCTTTGCTGTGCAAAAGAGTTTTAATTTGATGTAGCCCCATTTGTGTCTTTTTTTCTTTTGTTTCCCTTATCCAAGGAGATATATCAGAATTAGAATCATAGAGTGGGTAACATTCTCTGTAATCTTTGGCATAGTGTAGGTAAGTTGGAGATTATGTGTTCTTTGAAGGTTGTTAGAATTTACAGATTTGGTAAAGATATCTGTGTCTGGTATCTTTGATGTGTGAGATTTTAAACTGCTTACTATTTTCTTTCATTTTTGTAGGTCTGTATCTCTGGTTCCTTTTGTATTTCTTTATTTTACTTTTTTTGTTATTCATATTCAGTCTTCTCAGAGGTTTGTGTGTTGTTAATCTTTTTAATCCATTAGTAATTTTGGGGTATAGTGAAGTTTTGTTTTGTTTTTAACCCGTCCTTCTCCCCCTCCATATTGTTTCCAGTGATTTTTTTTTTTAAGAGTGAAAGGGAGGGAAGAAGGGTGGAAAGGAGAGAGAAAAACATCAATGTGAGAATGACACATCAACTGGTTGCCTCCCACAAGAGCACCCACATAACTTACAGCTGAGGTACATGCCCTTGACCTGGAATCAAACCTGTGATCTTTCAGTCCCTGGGCTGATGCTTTAACCAAACTGGCCATGGCTGGTAAAGTTCTGATTTTGGTTAAGTTTTATTCTTTTCATATGGATATCCAGTCAGCTCCTTGTCATCATATTGAAAAGACCTTCCTTTCCCTACTGCTCTTTAGTACTATTTTCTTGTAAATAAAGTTTGTGTGGGCTTGTTTTCTGGGATTTTTCTCCTATTATAATAGTTTTTTGGTCTGTCTTTGCCAATCCACACTGACTTAATTATTTTTATCTTTATAATATTTTTTATTTGATAGAGCAAATCATTTTATATTTTTAATACTTTCCATCATTTAAGTTTATAGTCTCTATAGTTCTATTACTTGAAGTTCTAAAGGGATATAATTTAGCTCTGCTGACTTATGCTCTTAATTCTTCTTGTATTGTACAATTTTCAATTGTAACCTTGTTTTCTGATAAGCGTTAGCTCTGGGAATCATCTGTAGTTTAGGTTAAGGGTATTTTCCTTGAGAAATAATTCGTTTTTACTCAGGTCTAATTTTTAATTTTAATTTTTTTACCTTTGGATTTCTATAGACAATAGAGAGCATAAAATCAAACTGTAGACCCATGGGAGGGCAGCCTTGGTGGCTGTGAAGTTTCAGGGGAGACTTTTCTTTTTATCTACATAGATTTCAGGTGAAGCAAAAAAAAAAAAACGACAACAAAAAAAACTACTTTGATCTCATCCTGGGCTAGTGGAGGTCCTCCCAATTCTCCATAGTCTATGTTTCACTAAGAATATTGCTATCCAGGATCCAGTGTTTCAATGAAAAAAGTTTTAGTTCTGTATCTCTCCTGGTTGAGCTCTTGCCCTACTTATTGTCTCACCTTTGTGTGATAAACCTAAAGTGTTTATTCTTTCACAAGCCTTTCCATGACAGTTTATACCCAAGTTCTTACATTTTTTGTTTCTTCCTTTTTCCTGCTGATTTCTTTTTCAGTTTATGCAATGAAAAGAATGCTTATTACATTTTATCCAGCATCTCTTGGGATTTTATTGCAGAGTTTTTATTTTTTTTTATTTTTATATATTTTTAATTAAATTATTATTTTTGTACATATACTATTGCCCCCCCCACACACACACACACACACATACCCTCTCTCCCCAGAGTTTTGTGTCCATTGGTTGTACTTATATGCATGTGTACAAGTCCTTCGGTTGATCTCTTATCTCCCCCAGATCTCCCCAACATCCCCGCTGTAATTTGACAGTCTGCTTGTTGCTTTACTGTCTCTATATCTATCTTTTGGTTCTTCAGTTTATAATGTTCTTTATCATCCATAAATAAGTGAGGTCATGTGATGTCTCTCTTTCATTGACTGGCTTGTTTCACTCAGCACGATGTTCTCCAATTCCATCCAGGTTGCTGCAAACGATGAGAATTTTTTCTTTTTTATGGCAGCATAATATTCCATTGTGTAAATGTACCATAGTTTTTGGATCCAATCATCTATTGCAGAGTTTTTAGATGATCTAGTCTGCTATATTTTTGGAAAGGGCAGTTGGTATTTCTTTTTAAATTCTTTATTGTTTAAAGTATTACATAAGTCTCTCTCCCTTCCCCCCAACCACTCCCCGGCTACCCTCACACCCGCACATGCCCTCACCACCCCTCCCCCCAGTCTGTGTCCATTGGTTATGCTCATATGCTATTGGTTGATCTCTTACCCTCCACATCCGCCTTCCCTCATAGATTGGAAAGTCTGTTGATGCTTCTATGTCTCTGGTTCTATTTTTGTTCATCAGTTTATGTTGTTCATTATATTCCACAAATGAGTGAGACCATGTGATATTTATCTTTCTCTGACTGGTTTATTATGTTCTCCAGTTCCATCCGTTGCAAATGATAAGAATTCTTTCTCTCTCTCTCTCTCTCTTTTTTTTTACAGCAGCATAATATTCCATCATGTAGATGTACCACAGTTTTCTAAATTGCTCATCTGGGCACTTGGGCTATTTCCAAATCTTAGCTATTGTAAATGGTGCTGGTATGAACATAAGTGTTCATATATCCTTTCTGATTGGTGTTTTTGTTTTCTTGGGCTATATTCCTAGAAGTGGGATTACTGGGTCATCAAATGGATGGAAGTTCCATTTTTAATTTCTTGAGGAAACACCATGCTGTTTTCTATAGTGGCTGCACCAGTCTGCATTCCCACCAGCACTGAAGAAGGGTTCGTTTTTCTCTGCATCCTCTCCAGCACTTGTAGTTTGTTGATGATAGCCATTCTGACAGGTGTGAGATGGTACCTCATTGTCGTTTTGATTTGCATCTCTCAGATGATTAGTGACTGAGCATGTTTTCATATGTCTCTTGGCCTTCTGTATGTCCTCTTTTGAAAAAGTGTCTATTTTGGTCCTTTGCCCATTTTTCTTTGATTGGATTGTTTATCTTCCTTTTGTTAAGTTGTATGAGTTCCCTATAAATTTTTGAAATTAAATCCTTATCGGAGATAACATTGGCAAATATGTTCTCCCATTCAGTGGGGCTTTCTTGTTGTTTTGTTGAGGGTTTCTTTTGCTGTGCAGAAGCTTTTTATTTTGATGAAATCTCATTTGTTTATTTTCTCCTTAGTTTCCATTGCCCTAGGAGCTTGATGAGTAAAGATATTACTACAACTAATGTCTGTTTTGCTGCCCATGGCTGCTTCTAAGATTTTTATGGTTTCTCATCTTAATGTTTAAGTCCTTTATCCATTTTGAGTTTACTTTTGTGTATGGTGCAAGTTGGTGGTCTAATTTCATTTTTTTGCATATATCTGTCCAATTTCCCAGCACCATTTATTGAAGACTGTCTTGCCTCCATTGTATGCTCTTGCTTCCTTTGTCAAATATTAATTGAGCATAATGTCTTGGGTCAATTTTTGGATTCTCTGTTCTGTTCCATTGATCTACTAATATATGTCTGTTTTTGTTCCAATACCAGGTAGTTTTGAGAACACTGGTTTTGTAGTATAGCTTGATATCTGGTACTGTGATCCCTCCAACTTTATTCTTCTTTCTCAAGATTGCTGTAGCTATTCGGGGTCTATTTTTATTCCAGATGAATTTTTGGAGAGTTTTTCCTGGGTCTGTGAAATATGCCATTGGTATTTTAATGGGGGTTGCATTGAGTCTATAGGTTGTTTTGGGTAGTATAGACATTTTAATGGTGTTGATTATATCAATCCATGAACATGCTATATTCTTCCATTTGTTTATGTCTTCTTCTGTCTCTTTTTTCAGCTTCCTGTAATTTTCTGAGTACAGGTTCTTTACATCTTTGGTTAAATTTATTTCTAGATTTCTTAATTTTTTTTTGTTGCAATGGTAAGTGGGGTTGTTTTTTTTAGTTTCTCTTTCTGTGAGTTCATTATTTGTGTATAAAAAGCCATAGATTTCTTGGTGTTAAATTTGTATCCTGGTACATTGTCAAACTCATTTATTAAGTTTAGTCTTTTGATGGAGTCTTTAGGGTTTTCTTTGTACAATATCATGCCATCTGCGAATAATGGACAGTTTTTCTTCTTTTCCAATTTGGATGCCTTTTATTTCTTCTTATCTGATCACTATGGCTAGCATTTCTAGTACTATGTTGAACAGGAGTGGTGAAAGTGGGCATCCCTGTCTTGTTTCTCTTCTTAGGAGAAATGGTTTTAGTCTTTGCCCATTTGAGTATGATGTTGGCTATAGGTTTGTCATACAAGGCATTTATTATGTTGAGGTATGATCCTTCAATCCTACTTTGTTGAAAGTTTTTATCAGGAAAGGGTGTTGGATTTTGTCAAATGCCTCTTCTGCATCAATTGATATGATAATGTGATTTTTGTTTCTCAATTTGTTTATGTGATGTATCACCTGTATTGATTTGTAGATATTGTACCAGCTTTGCATCCCTGGAATAAATCTTACTTAGTCATGGTATTATCTTTCTAATGTAATGCTGGATTTGATTTACTAGGATTTTGTTGAGGATTTTAGCATCTATGTTCATCAGGGATATTGGCCTGTAACTCAGAAATCTGTAGTGTCTTTAGCTGGTTTTGGGATTAGAATAAAGCTGGTTTCATAGAAAGGGCTTGGAAGTGTGCCTTCCTCTTGAATTTTTTGAAAAGAATTAGTTTTATATAAGAATTAGTTTTATAAAAGAATTATACTAGTCTGAAAAGTATAAGTTTTAGTTTTTTGAAGGTTTGATAAAACTCCCCTGTGAAGCCATCTGGACCCAGACTTTTGTTTGCTGGGAGTTTTTTGATGACTGCTTCAATTTCCTCCTTAGTTATAGGTCTGTTAAGATTTTTTGATTCTTCCTGATTGAGTTTTGGAAGGTCGTATTTTTTTTAGGAATATGTCCATTTTCTGTAGGTTGTTTAGTTTGTTGGAATAGAGTTGTTCATATTATTTGTATTTGGCCTGCCAACAAGCATAGGAATCTTAGTTTGCCTGTCTGTTGTTGCTCCTTAAAGTTCTAGTGATAAGCCTAAATAGGTTTTGTTAGAGATAGTTTCTGTATCTTTAGAGAAACTATTTTCAGTAAGTTAGCTTTTTTGCATATGTACTATCATTTGTGCTTTAGAGATTCCTTCCCTAACTGGTCTTCTTTTGAAATAAGAAAACCTAAAGGGCCAGTAATGCCTACAAAGACTAAAAACCATATAAACCTTAAAATTTATTCTGTAGGCCATTTTATCATCCACTTATTCAACAAACCAAATATTTATTTATTTACTTATTTATTTTTAAAATATATCTTTATTGATTTAAGAGAGAGAGGGAGAGGGAGGTAGAAACATCAATGATAAGAAAGAATCATTGATCAACTGCCTCCTGCATGCCCCATATTGGACATTGAGCCCACAATAAAGGAATATACCAGACTGGGAATCCATGCTGGCCAGGCTTGGTTTATTTATTTTAGACACACAAATTTTAAATTGTATTTAGTCAAACATGTCACTTTCCAGTCAGTTTAAATGTATGAAAAAAACAACAATGCAAATGACTAATCTGGCAACAGTATAAAATTACAAAAATATCATAGTATCCTAAAAGCAGAATGCGTTTTTAATTAAAAGTTTTCCTTATATCTTCATACTAGAGGCAAGGTGCAAGAAATTCATGCATGGGATGGAGGGGAGAGGGTGTCCTTCAGCCCAGCCTACACCCTCTCCAATATGGGACCCCTTGAGGGATGTGTGACTGCCCATTTAAGCCCAATCCAGTGGGCCTAAATAATTCCAACTGCCTGCCTGCCTGCTAATTGCCCCTAACTGCTTCTGCCTGCCAACCTGATCATACCTAACTGCTCCCCTGCTAGCCCAATTGTCCCTAATTGCCCTCCCCTGCCAATCTGGTCACCCCTAACTACCCTCCCCTGCAGGCCTGGTTGCCCCCAATTGCCCTCCCTTGCAGGCCTGCCCCCCCTTCCCCCACCAAACTGCCTTCCCCTGCAGGCCTGGACCCTCCCAATTCCCCTCCTCTCTCCCCGCTGTTGCCGCCCCCCCATGGCCTGATCACCCACAACTGCCCTCCCTTGCTGGCCATCTTGTATCCACATGGGGGCGGCCATCTTATGTGTGGGACTGATGGTTAATTTGCATATTACCTCTTTATTATATAGGATTTATTAATATGGTCTTTGAATTAATTTGCCTAAAGTTAGAGTTTTTTTAAGTACTGTGTAACCTGTTAAGTCTATTCTCAATAGTCATTGGATGGGAACAACTGCCAATTTAATATAAGAGGAGAAAAGTTAACAGGTTAAAAATCTGAATGTGTCTATAGCCTATCAGTATTGATTTCCTTTTATTTTTCTTCTAGAAACATGATCAGGGGCAAGTTCTGTTGGATATAGTCTTCAAACATCTTGATTTGACTGAGCGTGACTATTTTGGTTTACAATTGGCTGATGATTCCACAGATAACCCAGTAAGTTTAAGCTGTTGTCTCTCATTTCAATTTTTCTCTGTCATAATACATTTTTTTCTGATTTATAATGTTCACTGTTTGAGTGAGTTCTAAAAAAATTTAGTTTGACTGTGGTGATGTAATAGAAGGAGACTCGACTTTGGCTGGTCAACACAATGCAATATACAGATGAAGTATTACAGAATTGTACACTTGAAACCTCTATAATTTTATTAGCAATGTCAGCACAATATATTTAATAAAAATTTTTTTAACTCAAAAGCAAAAAGACAAAAAATACTAATTTGAATAATCAGAGGTACTTCTTTGCCTTTGTTCCTCATTTTCTTGATGACTTAGTCTGTAGTTATTTCTGTAGTTTTTAAAAATTATAAGCAGTCTGTATATCTAGTGCCAGTTTCTTTATTTGTCTCAGACAACTAAGAAATAAATCTAATTTATGCTTCTTGACTTAAAAAGAGAAAATTGACCTCAATTTAATATTAATATTAAAACATTAAAGTAAAATATCTTAAAATATTAATGTATCTTTTAAATTAGCCTGTATTAAGATGAAATTAGTTTTTGTGGCATTTGTAGTGATCTGTTTGTGTAAATTTTCCAAGTAGGAAGACTCATGGAGGCCCTCACAAATGAGGTAGAGATTAAATGTCACAGCTCTATAATTCTTGGGCAGTATTATTTATTGGATTGTTATTAATTCCTCAGTAATTGCAATAATGATTCTTTGTATGGGAAAGATCATATCATAGAAATAGAAAATAATGTGTTAAATAACGGAAATTATGAATTTTTTGTAAATGTATAATGTTGTTCAGTGAGGTTCTTGCAAAAGAATATGATATCCTTTTGACTTGTACAAAAGAGTGACTATTTTGAAGGACAACTTTTGTATAGTTTTAAAAAACAGGGAAGCTGAAAAATGGTTCTCTAAATCACTGCGTTAGAAATCAATTTTATAAGGCCATATTGAAGGAATGGCTATAGACAAAATAAATAACTTCCTGCCTTCATCCTTGCCCTGGCCTTCATCCCCATAGCCAGTATCTTAACTTTCTGAATAAATGGTTAGTAGGAAGTAAATATGAAATGTTAAATATTACTTATTTTTGGCATAATTTACTGATTTTTTAATTGAAACTGTGAGGACGAGATATAGATAAAACAAAGCAAGTGGCCCATTAGAAAATTTGTATACAAGAAGATATTTCTATTCTAAAACAATTAACAGCAGGGTGAATGTGGGAAAGCAGAAGTATTTTGAGTTGGGATGATCTGTTTGCTCTCACCTACTTTTTCTTACTTAGTCATACTTTTCTATCTTGAACATTCCTTCCCAAATAAGATTTATTTCTAGGCCCCAGGACCTAATTGCTAATGATCCAAGATAATTCTTCCCCCCAAATTATAGAATTTAAATACCCAAACCTTGAGAGATTATCTTGTCTAGCACCCTTATTTTTCATGGGAAATTATCCCAATCCAAGGAGATTAAAGTCCAAGCTACTGGATGGCATTAATGAAATTAGACTTGGGTCTCCTAACTTTCCATGCAAGTTTTTTCACAGCACTACAATTTCAGTATTTAAATATTCAGAAGAATTTTTAAAATGTCAAAATGTGTTCAAGAAGAACCTTTAGAGCACAAATGTTGTAAAATATTGTTTTCTTTCTGGTTGTCAATATGAAATATATCAAGACTTTGAAGATGTATAATGGATTGAGGGAAAGTTCTGGAAGTCATTCTTACAAAGAGAAAGGAGTAAGAGACTAAATTTTATGAAATATCTATTGTGGACTGGTTAATAAACCAAATTATCACAATAATCGTATGAAAATACCATTAAAATTCTTTTGATTTATTATTTTGTTAATCCTCACCTCACCTTTGAGGATACTTTTCCATTGATTTTTTAGAGAAAGTGGAAGGGATAGGGACAGACACACAGAGAGAGAAACATGGTTGTCTCCCTCATGTGCCTCACCTGAACAGGGCTGGGGATCGAGTCTGCAACTGAGGTTTGTACATTAATTGAACCAGATATTCTTCAGTTCTCAGGCCGTCGTCACTCTAGCCACTGAGCTAAACTGGTTAGGGCTAAAATTCTTCTAAAGATGGAAAACTAAGGCTCACAAAACTTTTTTAATGACAGAAAATTAAATAGCTGAGAAAGGACTTGAACTCATCTCCCTGACTCAAAATCCTGTTTGCTCCCAACTACAAAATGTTGCTTCCCAGGAATGATGATGATGTAGATGTACAGGACTTAGAAATTAACATATTGAGGAGAGGAGATAATCAGGAATAAAATTACCAGCAATGATCAGAAAGAATTTGATACTTAAGACTAGAAAAAGAAAAACAGGTCATTAAGATCCAGTTTTAGTTTTAGGGCGTGGTTTCACTCGAAAGTTGATGATTGATTTGGTGGATATGAAGAAAGGTGAGTAAATGCTGGAGATGTTTAACAGATAAAGTCAACAGAACTTGGTTGGATCTGATTAAGGGAGAGTAGATTCGTGAGGGGGAAAAAAAAGATCAGCATTAATATCTCAGATTCTGTCTTTGGCAACTAGATAGAAGAACCATAAAAATAGTATTATTGGGATGTAGAAATGATGTATCATTTGTTTTATATATTGATTTTGTATTACACAACCTTCATAAACAGTTTAATGCTAGTCATTTTTTTGTAAATTCCGTAGGATTTTCTACGTATATTATCATGTAAACATAAAGAAATTTAAATTTATTTAATTTCAATAAACTTTGTATTCCTGAGGTAAATCCAGGATAGAAATTTAATTATAATATTAAACTTATATCTTAAGACCTTGCTAAATTCTCTTATTACTTCTAGTATTTCTTTTATTGATTCCTTAGGATTATCTATGTAAATTTTGTCATATGAAAATAGTGATAGTTTCACTTTTTCCTTTGCGTTCTATATATTTTTTCATTCCTTATTACATGGCTAAGACTGTCATGACAATGGGGAATAAAAGTGATGGGAGAATATTACCTAACCTTCTTCTCTGTCTTAGGAGGAAATTATTCAGTGTTTTATTTTAATTATTTTTTAATATACATTTTTATTGATTTCAGAGAGGAAAGGAGAGGAGGAGAAAAAGATAGAAACATTAGTGATGAGAAAGAATCATTGATTGGCTGCCTCCTGTATGACCCTACTGGGGATCAAGCCCGAAACCCAGGCATGTGCCCATGACCAGAAATGAACTAGCGACCCTTCAGAGCATAGGACAATGCTTTATCCACTGAGCCAAACCAGCTAGGCTTCTGTTTCTTTAAGTCTGCTGTTAACTATAGTTTTGTGTGTTTTTTAATTTTACAGAGAGGAAGAGAAGGATAGAGAGTTAGAAACATCAATGAGAGAGAAACATTGATCAGCTGCCTCCTGCACACCCCCTACTGGGGATGTGCCCGCAACCAAGGTACATACTCTTGACCGAAATTGAACTGGGACCCTTCAGTCTGCAGGCCGACGCTCTACCACTGAGCCAAACCGGTTCTGGCTAACTATAGTTTTTTAAAAATCAATATAATTAAGGCATAATTTACATAGAATAAAATTCAATACTTATTCATAATGAAAACTCTCAACAAACATGGAAAAGAAAGAGACATCCTCACTCTGATAAATGACATGACTCTACACTTTCTGATGCCTCAGGAAAATGTCAGGTAAAAGCACGACGAGATATTAGCATGCATCCATCCACTAGAATAGTTCAAATTAATCTTACGATAACAGGTGTTGGCAAGGATTGCTTTTAGAATTTTAAGAGGGTACAAGCACTTTGGAAAGTAGTTTGGTAGTCTCCTATAAAATTAAACATAGCCCTGGCCATGTGACTCAGTGGTTAGAGCATTAGCCCATGCACTGCAGGGTCGTGATTGCAGGTTTGATTCCCTGTTAAGGGCATGTACTTGGCTTGTGGGTTCGCTCCCCTCTCCTGATTGGGACTAGTGCAGGAGACAAAACAATTCAGTTGGTTTGTGTCTCTCACACGGATGTCTCTCTCTTTCTCTTTCTCTCCCCCCACCCCCTTCCTTTCTACTCTGTCCGGAAAACAATGGGGGAAAATATCCTCAGAAAAAGATTAACAACAGCAACAAAATAATTAAATATAGATTTACTATATACCCCTCAGCAAACCCAGTAGTTATTCAAGAGAAATGAAAACATATTATAAGAAATACTTTTGTTTTTTTAAATACTGTTTTTTAAAATTTATTTTTAGAGACAGAGTAAGGGGTTGGGGGAGGGAGAGAAAGAGGGGGGAGGGAGGGGGAGAGAGAGAGAGAGAGAGAGAGAGAGAGAGAGAGAGAGAGAGAGAGAGAGAGAGAGAGAGAAGCATCTATTGGTTACCTCCAGCATGCCCCCTACCAGGGATTGAGCCCAAATCCAAGCATGTGCCCAGACTGGGAATAGAACCAGCAATCCATATTGCAGCTTCAACAATAAAATTTGAGGCTTGATCAGAAAAAAAAAAAAAGAACCAGCAATCCTTCAGTGCTTGGGGATGATGCCTAAACAACTAAGCCATATCAGCCAGGGCATAAGAAATCTTATACACAAATTATCATAGCAGTATAATTTCTAGTAGGCCAAACCTTAGTTAATCTTAACTTCTATCAATAAACAAATGACTGAGGCCTAGAACCAAGAAGGCAGCATAGGTAAGCGCCTGGACTAGCTACTTCCCACAACCACATCAAAATTACAACTAAAATACAGAACACCCATCATCCAGAACCGCCTGAAAGCTGGCTGAATGGAAGTCCTACAACTAGAGAAGAGGAAAGCACATTGAGACTGATAGGAGGGGCGGAGAGACGGCTGCTTTTTTAATCAGAAGAAGATAGTCTCTGCGGAAGCAAACTGAGGAGCAAGAGTCCCAGATCCACACCAGACTCCCCAGCCCAGAGTTCCAGAGCTGGGAAGAGTAATCCCCATAACTTCGGGCTGTAAAAACCA